CAGGGAGAAAGAAGATGAGGGTTGCCAGTGGGCTGTTGGGAAGGAGGTGAAACCGCGGGATCGCAGTCGAAGGAATGTGGGGTTGCCACACCTCACGACGTTCCTGTGTGTGTGTGTGAGTGTGCGTGTGTGCCACCTTGCGATTGCAATTGAAAAGTCGTTCCGAAGCCAATGTTTTGAGGAAGTCTCTAGCGAAATTGCCGTTTTGAAGAATATGAAGACACCTTTGAGTACGTCGGGTTTTAATTCGGGGGCTGTCCCACGCGAAATTGTTGTTTTTTGTTCCGAGAGTGGCGTTCAACATCTTCATAGAACCCTGAGGGTAGGCCTACCCTAGGCCTACCCTTAGGCCTACCCCCTAAGCCTACCCTAGGCCTACTCCTTTGCCTGTCCCCTAGGCCTACCCCTATGCCTGCCCCCTAGGCCTATCCCTATGCCTACCCCTATGCCTTCCTCCTAGGCCTACCCCTAGGCCTACCCCCTAGGCCTACCCTAGGCCTACCCCTAGGCCTACCCCCTAGGCCTACCCCTAGGCCGACCCCCTAGGCCGACCCCCTAGGCCTACCCTAGGCCTACCCCTAGGCCTTCCCCCTAGGCCTACCCTAGCCTTCCCCCGAGGCTAACCTAGGTCTACTCCTGGGCCGTTCCCTTCGGCACACCCCAGGCTTACCCCCCTTAGGCCGCCCGCCCGCCCGACCCGCCCGTTAGGATCCGACCCGTCCCGACCCGCCCGTTAGGGTCCGCCCGACCCGACCCGACCCGCCCGTTAGGGTCCGCCCGACCCGTCCCGTCCCGACCCGACCCGTCGGGGTTCGATGCACCATGTTTGAACGGCCCGCCCGCCCACCCCCGACCCGCCTGTTGGGGCCCGCCCGACCCGGCAAGACCCGCCCGGGAGGGTCCTCGCGTGTCCCCTCCCGGCTGCATCATTTGTTAATGTCCAGCCCGCCCGACCCGACCCGTTCGTCAGGGTCCCGCCCATTGGACCCGACCCGCCCGTTAGGGTCCGCCCGACCCATCCCGGCACGACCCGTCAGGCTTCTCGCGTGCCCCATCGAGGACGCATCATGCTGTAATGTCCCGCTTGCCCGACCCCGCCCGCCCGTTTGGGTCCTCCCGACCCGTCCCGACCCGATCCGTTAGGGTTCTCGCGCGTCCTTTCGTTGACGCATTCTATTTTATGTCCCGCCGACCCGACCCGACCCGCCCGTTAGGGTCCGACCCGACCTGACCCGACTCGCCCGCTAGGGTCTGCCCGACCCGTCCCATCCCGTCCCGACCCGACCGCCAGTGTGCTCGCGTGTCCACTCGCGCCTGCATCATACTTGAATGTCCCGCCGACCTGCCCCGACAGAAGGAGGGGGAGGAGCGATCGATGAGGAGGATTGACGAGGGGCGTCGAATCGGATCGGATCGGATGAATGCGCAAGGTCGATTTGCAAGAAAGCCTCAGCACTGTTTGAGGTCAGCAAATAGAGAGAAAGAGAGAGAGAGAGAGAAAGAGCGAGAGAGAGAGAGAGAGAAACAAAGAGAGAGGGAGAGAGAGAGAGACAGAGCAATCTATATATATATATAAGAGAGAGAGAGAGAGAGAGAGAGAGCAGGCATGGATACCACAATCATCCCCGCCCTCCTTGCTGCCAGTCTGGCAGCACGAGAACAGCCCTCCTGCTGGGACTGCATGGCGGAGCGCAGGCCTGAAGCGAGCTTGCTCACGTCGACGCTGTATCGCCTGACGGAGCTTGGGCGTGAGCTCCAATCTGCCGGGCGGCGGCGGGGGTGGAAGGAGGAGGAGGAGACAGGTCCCGGGGCTCTCCCGAGGCCTCCAAAGCCTGCAAGATGCCCGAGTCGGGGTCAAAAGGCCCCGAGATCTCACTAGGGCCCTGATGAGGCTCAGTAGGGGCCTCGGGGGTCTAAGGCATGTCGAAACTGGTGTCCCTGGGCCTGTTCTTCTCAAAGCCTGCAAAGTCTAGCGCAATGCCGTTCTCGTTGGTGCCAGTAGCAGTATCAAGGGGTCAAGAGCTGACAGGAGGTGGACGAGGAGGAGGAGGAGGAGGAGGAGGAGGAGGAGGAGGAGGAGGATGCGACCGGCTGGGTGGGGGTAAGAGCGGCAGCGGGACGGCGCGGCAGGGACTGCGGCGGGGTCCCCACGCGCCGGGACCTGCCGCCGGGAGCGGCGGCACGGCGGCTCCGGGGACGTTGCGCGGCGAAGAAGGGCGCGAGCGCGCGCGCGCCCTTCTCCTCCTCCTCCTCCTCCGCCTCCGCCTCCTCTCCTCCTCCTCCTCTCCTCCGCCTCCTCCTCCTCCTCCTCCTCCTCCTCCCTCCTCCTCCTCCCTCCTCCTCCTCCCCCTCCTCCTCCTCCTCTCCTCTCCTCCTCCTCCTCCTCCTCCTCCTCCTCCTCCTCCTCCTCTGAGGTTCGTGGGCCTAGGATTCGGGCAGGAGGCCGAGGCTCGGAAGGTCGAAGCTCGTGGGCCTCTTTATGGGTCGCCCTTGCCGCCACGGCGGGCTCCGCCCGGAAAGGTCAAGCCCGAACAGGTCCAGGCCGTCGACTTTCTGGGAGGAGGGGGAGGAGGAGGAGGAGGAGGGGGAGGAGGAGGAGGAGGAGGAGGAGGAGGAGGAGGGGGAGGAGGAGGAGGGGGAGGAGGGGGAGGAGGAGAGGAGGAGGAGGAGGAGGAGGAGGAGGAGGAGGAGGAGGAGGCCTAGGACCTGGAGGAGGAGGAGGAGGAGGAGGAGGAGGAGGAGGCCTAGGACCTGCTCGGGCTGGGAAGTGCAGGGCGGAGCCGGACATCGGGGGGCGTGGAGGTCACGTTGAGCTAATGAGGGAGGTTTGGTTGTTTGGAGGGGGTGTTGTGCTCTCTCTCTCTCTCTCGAGCCCAGCCCGCTGGCCTAACCGGCCATGCGGCGCCTCCAGGCCTGCACCCAGGCGCGGCTTCTCGCGACCCCCGACACATCATCGGGTGCGAAACGGTCACGCTCTATGGGCCCCTACCGCCGCCACCGTACGTCAATCTCCTGCACGGGCATTGCCTGTGGAGTCTCTCGACGGTGACGCTTGGCTGCCGGCCACCGATCCCCACCATTTCTTCCAACAACTGGCCGACACTGGAGGCATCGACCCGCCTCCCACTAGCAGTGCGGTACCATCTGAATGTCCCCCGTGGTGGTACTTTGCCTGCCTCGCTTTACGGTCCTCCTTCACCACGAGGACCCAGGCCGCTCCAGGCGCGCCCCGCACCGTCCAGGTTCCCCATGCCCACTCGGGCTCTGGCCGAGCGCTGGGGAGTCTCACTTCGGATGCAACTCCTGGGAGGTCAAATTCTGATTTTGCCCTGGTCCGAAATCCGGCTTAATCTCGCTGAATCCCGTTAAATCCCGTTTAATCCCGCTTAATCCGGCTTAATCCGAGGCCCACTCCGGCGTAACAGCCCCCTAATGAATGGGGCCTAATCCTTTTTAATCCTTCCGACGAAAACCTCCCCCCCCGGCGCGGCTGGAGCGGCAGCTCGAGCACGTCCGGCCCCTTTCAGGCCGTGCTCGCCGCACGACGCGACCTCACCCCATCGCGCCGCGTGGACTTCACGCCTCCGTGCAGCGCCAGGCCTCGCTCGCCCCTTCGACGGCGAGCGTCTCCGCCTCTGTCGCAGCCGCCCTCTAGGCGGCCCAAGTGTTTCTCACCAGCAGCGCCAGCTAACCCTGTTTCTGAGGTCCGCGCGCCGCCTGGCAAGCGTCCACTGTGGCCTCCCCCACTGCGGGTCCTGATGGGTTGCCGGAGGGACGCCGACGCTGCCAGTAAGGCATCGTCATGCCAAAGACGTGTGCAGTCTTCGATTTGCTTTACAGGTGCGGCTCGGACGGCTGCGTGGCAGTGTCACAGTACACCATCTGCTCGCTGGGGGGGGGGGGTCCCCCTCGCTCCTCCCTCTCCCTCCTCCCCAGGCCGACCGCCCAACACGAGTGTGTAGGGCCTCTTTCGCCGACGGCACTGGCCAAAGTGTTTCGGGCGCGGCGCGCTTGCCCGCCGGCCCGTGGACGGGGCTCCGCCCAGATTGCCCGATCTTTCTTGTTTGGGCTCCCTTTCTTTGCAGCAGACGCGGGCGAGTGGTCTGCTGGGCGGCCTTGTGCGCCCGCCTCCCGACGCTGCGGGCGACTTGCTTCCGCGGCTCGGCTAAGCAGAGGAGGCGTTGGCCCAGGCCCCTGAGCGTCACGGCAAGACATCGAGGCGGCGGCTGGAGGGCAGCCCCGCCCGGCCCCACCCCCGGCCAGGACCTGGTGATCCAGGCGGCCTGGCTCGGGGCGAGGTCGATCTTTGACCCAACCGGCAGGCGTGGGGAATTGCTGCGTGCACGGATGATGCTGCCCAAATGATCGCGCTGGCACGTGGCGCTGGCGGCGCAGAATCGGTTGTTGGGACGACGTGCAGTTTCATGTCGAACATGAGTCGGATGTCAACGCTGCGCAGGCCGCCTGCCCATCAACGTGCGGCTTATGCGCGGCGCCGTGCACAGATGCTGACGCGGCGCCCGCGAGGAGACTCCAGCGGCGGCGGTGTCCTCTTGCGGCACCCGCCAGAGGTCTAGCGGCCGCGGCCGCGGCCGTGCCCCCCGCAGGGGACCTTCCACGGCGAGGCCTTCGGAGGAGGAGGGGCGGGGGGCAGCGGGGAAGGGGGCGCAGGGGCAGTGGCAGGGAGGGAGGGGGGAGGAGCAGGAGGAGGAGGAGGGTAGCAGGAGGAGGAGGAGGGGGAGGAGGAGGAGGAGGAGGAGGAGAGGAGGAGGAGGAGGAGGAGGAGGAGGGGGGAACAGAGAAAAAGAAGTCGAACAAGAAGAAGGATAACAAGCAGGAGGAGGAGGAGGAGAAGATGAAGAAGAAGACGAACAAGGACCAGGAGGAGCAGGAGGAGAAGGAGGAGGAGGAGGAGGAGGAGGAGGAATTGTGAAACGGCAGCGCCCCCGCGAGACCCTGTGGGCGAGCCTTTTTGATTGCGTGCTAGAACGCGGGTGCGCATGGCGCTGGGGGCCTGGTCTCGGCCGGCGTGCAGCGGGGGCAGGCCTCGCCAGGGGGGCGGGGGGGGGTCCGTCGGGGCCTCCCAGATGGGGTCTGAGAGGACGGGGGCGGAGCATCCCGCTGCATCGCCGATGCACTGCCGACACGGCTCGGTGTGGAGCCCGATCTTCTCCGCGCTGGCGTCGCCGACGTGCCGCCACTGTCGCCGATGCATCGGCGAGGCAGCGCGATCTTCGGACCCAATCTTCTCCTCTGACTCCACCTGCGAGGCCTCCAAGGGAGGAGGCGCGGCAAGTTCGTGCCGTGTTGGCGCGGCGACGGCCCCAGCCCGCGCGTTCAAGGTTGGGCGGGGCCAGTGGCCCAGAAGCGGCCGACATCGGCAGGAAGCCGCTGCCCTGCAGAGCTGAATGATTCACGCGGTATCGGGCACCAGCGCAGAGGTCGTCACGGCACGAGCTTATTGTACGGATGTTGTCAATTACCATTTCCTCTTGCTCCTCCTTCTCCTCCTCCTCCTCCTCCTCCTCCTCCTCCTCCTCCTCCTACTCCTCCTCCTCCTCCTCCTCCTCCTCCCCCCTCCCCCTCCCCCCTCCCCCTCCCCCTCCTCCTCCTCCTCCTCCTCCTCTCCTCCTCCTCTTCCGTCTGCTCCTCCTCCCCCTCCTCTCCCCATCCTCCTCCTCCGCCCTCCCTCCTCCTCCGCCCTCACTCCTCCTCCGCCTCCTCCTCCCTCCTCCTCCTCCTCCTCCCCCTCTCCCTCCTCCCCCTCCTCCTCTTTGTCGTTCCGACATCGGGCGCTAACTCAGAGGTCGTCACCCCGCGAACCTACCGTACGGATGCCCCCTCCTCCTCCTCCTCCGCCTCCTCCCCCTCCTTCCTCCTTCCTCCTCCTCATCCTCCTCCCCCTCCTCCTCTTTGTCGTTCCGACATCGGGCGCTAACTCAGAGGTCGTCACCCCGCGAACCTACCGTACGGATGCCGCTACCCCTCCTCCTCCTCCTCCGCCTCCTCCTCCTCCTCCTTCTCCTCCTCCACCTCCTCCCAAGAGAGGCTGAAGGCCAACGCCGATCTGCAGCTTCAGAGAGCTCCGCTCGTGAGGGCTCACGCTGTCAGTGTAGCCCTCCAGTAAGCGGCGGACTTTGTAGGTGATGAGTTGCCACAGGATGCTCAGCCGAATGTTGATCCGGCGCCTGGGGCTGACGACATCGTCGAGCTCCGTGGGCACTGTGTGTTGGTGCTGCCTTGGGCGATGGTGTGCACTTTGCGCGGCTCATATCAAGCGTCCAGTGGCAAAGTGGCGCATTGCAAGCTGCGCGAGCAATGCGTAGGGGTGGCGCAGCACGGCCAGTCCCGAGATAAGCAGACCTATATCATATCTGCTATCAAGGCCGGTCACCACCCCAAGACGGGCAAATCTTCAAGACCTGCCTAACTTTAGTACGTAAGGCCCGTGCCCCCGTCCTCGGTTGCACGACTCGGCCTAGCGCTGGTCCTCCTCCTTACGGGCTGAGCGATCTACGCGGTGTCTGGAACCAGCGCAGAAGTCGTCGCGACACGAGCCTGCCGCACGGATGTCACTGCCCCGCCGTTCGTCGCCGTCGCCGCCGACGTCGGGCCAGAGGAGGACACGATACTGGTGTTAACGCTCCGTCCACCGTCGCCGAAGGCCGGCTTCGCCCTCGAGGTTCTGGTCTTGCGCCTCCTCCAGGTGGCCTCGCCCTTGGATAGCAAATCATGGCCTTGTGAGTTCTCGCAAGTCCGTCTGTAGAGTACATTCAGTCCACCCGCATGATAAGGATGGGCAACCTGCCCAAGGGTACCCTTGCATCCTTGTCCCTTAGGCCCATCCTTAACGACTTTCGCCTTGCCAGTCTCGTGCGAAAAACGTTGTCGTTGCCCTCCAAGGCCCTTGCATCCTTACAGCGAATCCTTATGATACGGATTGACTGTAGCGTGCGCCAGCGTCTGGTAATCAATGAGAAATCGCCATTTTAGCGTCGACGTAGCGTCGATTAGCGTCGATTTCGCGTCGATTCGCAACATCCAACAAGCTGGTATGGGAGGCCCCCATGAGCTGCCACCGATTCGTCATCCCGCCTCATCCTCCTCCAACCCCCTTGCCTCTCAGCGCGCGTACAGCATAGTCATCAGCCTCATGTCACACCCCTTGCGCGCAAGGCCGAGTCCTAACCTACCCCATCCTATCCCTCCCCGTCTTGCCGCCTCCGGGGCCCGTCCCGCCTCGCTACAGACCTCGGAACAAATTAGCGAACACATGCCACATTCATCCGTCAACGCCTCCCCCTCCCCCCAATGTTCAAGGTTGGCGGTGGGTCTGATGAGATGCACTTCGGCCGCAGTCTCCTTTGCGCGTGCCAACATTGAGTTTGGGGGGGAGGGGGAGTGTTCAGTAATTGTTTCCCTCTACCGTATCCCCCCCTCGGCCCCGCGGCCGCGCTCCCCCCCGCCCGCCGCAGCCCCGGGCGGGGCGCCGCCTCGGCAGCGGGAGGCGGGCGGGAGCCCATCGGCCTGGCACCGCTCGGACGTGTGCATTTCTCCTTCGGCGAGGGCCATCGAGGAGCACCCTTGAGCCTTCGGCGAAAGAGCCACGCACGACACCGAGCACAAAAACACAGGGAGGGGACGTCCGAGCGATGGCCAGATCGGGGGCAGCGTCAGGGGGGAGATCTCGGCTCCGGGGGGGGGGGGAGGCGGCTGCCCCCAGACGGGCCCGCTCAGCGCTGATGGGGGTCCCCATGGCCTCACCCCGCCCGGGAGCGTGCGGCGTCGCTGCCGGGCGCCGATCGCCCGCTCCTCCTCGAGGAGGAGGAGGAGGAGGAGGGGGAGGAGGAGGAGGAGGAGGAGGGGGGGGAGGAGGAGGAGGAGGAGGAGGAGGAGGAGGAGGGGGAGGAGGAGGAGGAGGAGGAGGAGTTCCCCTCCAGGAGCCCCCTGGGCCCTCCCAGAACCCCCCCCAAATCGCTCAACTCGTCCAGCGTTTCCTCGATCCCCGAGCCTCGATCCTTGGGTGGACGGAGCTGGCGACTCCTCAGTGATGACCCCCCTTCCAGAACAGGCAGAAGTCGTGGCATTCATAGGCTCTCCCAGATCTCCGAGAGTGGGCTCCGGAATTACTGAAACATGTGTCTTGGGCCAGCCGTATGTACAGTCGGGGCGCTGAGGAAGGAACCCTTTTCGCTTGGGAGGGGCTCAGTGTTCCTTAGTTGTTTTGCAGTTCGCCTTGGCTTTTTCCTTAGGCTTTCGCTGGGAAGTCAAAGTTTCACTCACGGAAAAGGGGGGCCTCGTTCCTTCTTTAGGGTTCCTTAGGTCAACGCCCCGGCTGCATGCCGGGTCGGACGACAGGGAGGGCTACGGAAATGGGGGGGGGGGACGCAATCTGCTGGGCGCCGCTGGTGTGGGCCCCGCCGCTGGGCGACCTTCTCTCGACGCACGGGCGCCTCTGGCGCTGGGAGGCGCCGGGAGAGTCGGCTGCCCGAGCTCCGACGAAGGCATCTATACCTCACCACCGCGCCAGGGCAGGGCCATCCTGGGCCTTAGGGTGGTGTACAGAGCCTCCTGGCCTCGGCCAGAAGGGCGTACACACCATGCCAGGGCCAGGATGGTTCTAGCTTGGCACGGTGGTGGTGTATAGATGCCTCCTGCGTATGAGCTGATTTGCCGGTTCCTTCTGCGCTGCCCCCCCGTGGCGCCCGACCCCGGCGTCCTGGCCCCACTCCTCGGGGGCCACGTGCGAGCCCTTCCCCTGCCCCCCACGATTTCTGAGGGGGAGGGTGGGGTTCCACTCCGCTCGGGAGCTCCCCAGCGAAGTGAGCCCCACCCTCCCCCGCAGAAATCGCTGGGGGGCAGGGGTGGGGTTCGCCTGTGGCCCCCCTAACTCCCCCCCTGCGGTCGAGCCGCTGAGCTGAGGACCGCTGCGGCTTCAAGAGGGGGCGGCCGGTTGTCGGGCCGCTCCTCGGGTCCAGGTCGGGGGGCACGCCGTCGTGGCCGAGGCTCGCAGGGGCCAGAAGTGCCCCGTCGTTGAAGTCGGGCCCGTCCCTCTACAGGAAGAATATTCAAAAATAGTCCAAAAACAGAGTAATGTTGTTGGACTGTTCCCTTCGGCGAGGACCATTGAGGCGCATCCTTGATCATTTGGCGAAAAGGCCACGCACGAAGCCGAACAAGAACACAGGGAAGGGACGCCCGAGGCTCCCGCCCTCTCGCGAGGGGGGCTATTTTTTCAAGAAATGGGGACTTTTTTTTGAGTAATGGTTCACCTTTGGGGGCATTTTTAGAGCATCTTCTATCCTTCATCGAGAATCCCCCTGTAGGGGTGTTTCATATTTAGCGTTTCCTCGAGGGCAGAAAAACGCTGACCATGACCAAAATGTCGCGGGCTGTTGTGGACGCCGATCTTGGTCGGTCCATCTCGGCCGTCGCCGATTCGCAAGGATGATCCGCAACAGATCGACGACGACCAAGACGGACGATGACCAAGATCGACACCGACGTTTCCCCGTTCAGCTTTGGTCATGGTCATCGTCTTCTTGCCTCCAGTTCTTGTGGTAGCACATCCCTCGTCTCATCCTCCTCGTCCTTCCTCCTCCCTCCTCGCCCCGCCCCTCCTCCTCCAGGAGGCAGGAGGAGGATAGGGATGAGGAGGCGGAGAAGAAGGATAGGGATGAGAAAAAGGAGGAAGAAGAGGAGAAGGAGAAGGAGGAGGAAGAAGGATAGGGATGAGGAGGAGGAGGAGGAGGAAGAAGAGGAGGAGGAGGAGGTGGCGAAGGAAGAGGAGGAGGGGGAGGGGGAGGAGGAGGAGGAGGAGGAGGAGGAGGAGGAGGATAAAGGAGGAGGAGGACGAGGACGAGGAGGTGGTATAGCACCTTCGCAGTCCCTCTCCCCCTGGCGTCGCCCGCGCTCCCCCCTTGGCGGGGTGGGGGGCTTGGCGCCAGGCGCCCGCTCTCCGCCGCCTGGCCGCTGGCGCTCTCGGCCGCGCCCCCCGGGCGCCTCGCGGGGCGGCGGGGGCGGGCCGGCGAGACGACGGCGAGGCGCCGGCGACGAGGAGGGCGACGGGCCCCTATCAGGAGGAGAGAAAACACACAGACACGATTCGTCGTCGATTCCCTGGAAAATGCGGGAAAGTATGGGCAGTGGGGGGGAAGGCAGAAGCCCAGAAAATATAGGAAAAGTGGGGCGCCCCTCTGGCTCCAGCGGTGAGGGGGGGGGGCAGAGGCACCACCCGCTGTGGAGGACGATCCACGGAGAGGAAGAGGGCCTCCTCGTCCTCGTCCTCGTCCTCGTCCTCGTCCTCCTCCTCGTCCTCGTCCTGCTCCTCCTCCTCCTCCTCATCCTCCTCCTCCTCCTCCTCCTCCCTGCTCCTCCCTGCTCCTCCCTGCTCCTCCTGCTCCTCCTCCTCCTCCTCCTCCTCCTCCTCCTCCTCCTCCTCCTCCTCCCTCCTCCTCCCTGCTCCTCCTGCTCCTCCTCCTCCTCCTCCTCCTCCTCCTCCTGCTGTGGAGGGCGATCCACGGAGAGGAAGCATGTTGCCAAATGATTTCCAGATGTCTACACCGTGTGGTAACACATGTGCTGAACATGTGAAACACATGTTTGAAGCATGCTCAGAACATTTTTCCTTACATTTTACGCACATGTTCAGCTCCATGATAGGACTCTTGGGGTGTCCATCGTCGTGGCATCCACAAAACCACTAGTTGCGCACAGGTTCTGTGCCCGTCCGGCCGCGGCTTCTGGGGCTCTTTGTGGGGCGGCGACGGGACGACCGCGAGACGGCGACGGCGAGGAGGGCGGCGAGGGGCTCGGAGCCGGCTGGGGGGCCGAGGTTCCGGGCCTCCCAGTCAAGCAGTGGCGAAGCGTCCTGGCTCGCCTATAGGCCCACCAAAGAATGATCTCAGAACCGGTTGTGGTTTCCACGAAATGTCCTTAGAACGTTTCTGGCTGGGGTTGTCTCATTTGTTTAACGCCTCGGGCTTATGCTCTAAGAAGTTTGTTTTTGTTCTTAGAACGATATTGGGTGATAAGAACATGTCGTGGTAGGCCTATAGGATTGCGGGGACGGTCGGTCCCTGCTCAAGGATGGGGTCCGAGCGGATGTGGTCGGAGGATCGCACCGCATGGCCATTGCATCTGTGATGCAGCTCGACGTTGGGCCCGACTTGTTCTTCGCCGGCGTCGCCGAGGCATCGCCGACGTCGCCGACGCATCTGCAATGTAGCGGCGATGTATCGGCGATTTTCTGGCCACGTCGTCTCGGAACCCATCTGGGAGGCCTCCAGAGGTGGGGCATCAGTGGTTCCAGCCAGAAGACAGCGGTACACAGGTTTCGTTCCATTTCCCCTCCGAGCCGCTTTCTTCAAGTGAAGAAACCACTCCGACCCCGACAACTGGCGTTTACCAAACGGCCCGGGGGGTTTACTAAACAGCCCCACCATGTTCGGTTCCTGGTGCGTTTACTAAATCGCTTCGCTTGTCGGGGTGCTTATTATGAGGGTGGATGTTCTGCTTTCTATTTCTCGAGATAGGCATTGAATGCCGAATTTGCCCTTTTCTCCTCATAGCTGTTCTTGCTGGTGCACATCCAGGCAGAGCTCTGGCGGCCTCCAACTGAGGGGTAGGACGAGGAGGGGGTCGATGACGGTAAAGGACGACGCTAAATGGCGGCGTTGGCGGTAAGCGACGAGGAGCACGTCGACGAGGAGAGGACGACCAGCGGCGGACGACGGCGGCGACGGCGGCGAAGGCTGCGACGGCGAACGGCGAATGACGACGACGGCGACGACCACGACAACGAAGTCGACGACGAGAATCTGAGTACCAGTGTAAGTTCCCGTGCGCTTCTCGCCTCGCCCCCTGCTTTTCCCCCTGCCTGCTCTGGGCCCCCGGTCGTTCGTGGGCCGGGCCCGCGCCTGAGGTGGGGGAGGGGGCAGCCGTGGGCGCGGCGGGCTTCCTCCTGCGGCGGCCACGCGGCAGCGGGGGGAGCCCCGCCGCCGCGCTCCCCCAGAGGTTGGGCCGGGCAATGGGAGGGGGAGGCTGGGAAACGGGGGCCGCCACGAGGGCGCGAGGTTATTCGCGGCTCGCGGATCCTCGTCTTCCTCGTCCTGCTGCGTTGCCCCAGGGGGGCGGCGCGACAGCACGGAGCTGTTCGCGCGTCGTGCAGTGCGAAGCGCGAACATAGCTGCCCTCGGGCAAGGATACTGTGCATGGATAGCAAACAATTGCAGAAACATAGATTTTCCAGCTGCCTACGGCATCATAATCATCACCATCACCACCACCACCATTACCATCATCATCATCATCATCATCATCATCATCATCATCATCATCATCATCATCAGCATCAGCATCAGCATCAGCATCAGCATCAGCATCCTCATAACCATCACCATCACCATCACCATCACCATCAGCACCATCATTTCATCATCGTCATTATCATGATCATCATCATCATCATCATCATCATCAGCAGCATCCTCATCATCACATTATCATCATTGCCATCATCATCATCACCAGCACCATCATTGTCATCATCGTCATCTTCGTATCAGCATTGTCATCAACTTCATCATCATCATCATCATCATCATCATCATCATCGTCATCAACTAATCATCATTGTCCTCATCATCGCCATCATCATCATCCTCATCATCATCATCATATCGCTGGCACCCCTTCCTCTCATCTCTTGAGGGGTGGCGCAGCATGCTCGCGCCCGGTCGCGCCGAGGCCTTCGCGGCGTGGGCCTGGATGGCTGCCGAGGGCGCGTTCGCGTCGCCTCCGGTGCCCGCGGCGGGCCAGGACGGCCGCCCCGGCACGGCGGATGCGGACCCAGACAAGTTCTCGGACCCCCCCCTCTCGGGGGCGGCAAAGAGGGGGGTGATGACTAGGGGGGGTGGATATCATGGCGGGGGTCATGATATCTTCCCAGATTTCATGGCGTCCCTTCTCATTTCACTACGTCCCTGGGCTCCCCCCAGGGCCGCGCACATGCCGCCGGCCGGCCATGATTTGCACCCCCCCCCTCTTGGACGCCCCCCTCTTGGCCGCTCCCGATCCCTTGACAACGTGGTGACCACACAGCGTGGTGGGTCCCTGGGGGACTCGGTGCCACCGCAAGGTTCGTAGGACTCGGGCCGTTCCCCGTGGACGGCACGGGCGACCAGGGCCTGCGTGGTCTCAAGACCGCGCGGTGACGTTTTTTTGGCGAGAGCCGTACCGCTCGTCGCCGCAGACGACCGCCTTTAACAACAAACAACAGAAACCCAGCGAGGATTGGTGCAAAACAAAAAGACACGCGCGGTGACGGTTTTGGGGACCCGAGATGGTGGCGGGTGTCGTGAGACGACGAGACGGAGGTTTGTCGCCGTTTTCGGCGTCCTGGGGCCCTCGCCGGGCCCTGGGACAGTCAAAAGAGACGGCCTGGGATGAAAAACGGGCCCCGGGGGAGCGGGTCGAGGTTTCCTGTTGGGCATTTGGAAAAGAACAGAACATCGATAAACACCAGGACGTCGGATGTTTTAGGACACGGGATGACTGGGGACATGTTCGGGGTCCCCCAAACGCCGTCGGTCCAGGCCTCCCAAGAGGGGTTCGAGCCGATGGGGTCGGGAAAACGCACAGCATCGCCGATGCATCGCCGATGCGTCTTGAGGTGGGGCTCGATTGTCCAGGCGCTGATGCATCGTCGACGTCGCCGATGTATCGGGAACCCGAAATGCCACTATCGCGAACAAAATCACGATGGTATTGTTGTTGCTATTGTTACTGTTGTTGTTGTTGCTGTTGCTGTTGCTGTTGCTGTTGTTGTTGTTGTTGTTGTTGTTGTTGCTGAATGTTCGTTACTAAACTAGTATTCATGTTGGACCCCATTAAAGGCGCTTTGGCGCTCTCGCCGAGGCGCTGGCTACATCTTCATTGAAAATGAGGCTCACGCTCGAGCGGTATGTGGGACCGCCAAAACCGTGCCCCCCACAACAACAACGCTCCCGCTCGAGACTTCTTCCTTTTTTACTCAGGGCTGGTGTTCTTGTTCGCCGCCGAAAGCCGCCGTCCTAACAAAATCAGCGCTCCCGCTCGAGACTTCCTCCCGTTTTACCTTGGACTGGCCCGCTAGTCTTTCTCTCATCGGCACCGCCCCCAGCAAGAACAACGCTCCCGCTCGAGGCTTCCTCCTTTTCTAACTCAAGGCGGCGCTCCTCGCCGCCGAAAACCGCCGCTCCGACAAAACCAGCTCTCCCGCCCGAGACTTCCTTCCGCTGTTCGCTGGACTGGCGCCCAACTCTCTTTTGAATTGGCGCCCCTCCCAGCAAGAGCAACTCTCCCGCTCGAGGCTTCGTCCCTTTTTCCTGAAGACGGTGCTGTTCTTCGCCGCAGACAACCCCCGTCCCGACAAAGCCACGGCTCCTTCTCGATGCTTCCTCCTTTCTTACTCAAGGCGGTGCTCCCCCTCGCCGCCGAAGACCGCCGCCCCGACAAGACCAGCGCCCCCGCCCGAGACACCCTTCCGTTTTACCGTGGGCCTGGCGCCCTATTCTTTTTTGAATTGGCGCCGTTCCCAGCAAGAACAACACTCCCGCTCGAGATGTCCTGTCGTTTTCCTCAGGACGGTGCTGTTCCTCGCCGCCGACAGCCCCCGTCCTTCAAAACCACAGCTCCCGCTCGATGCTTCCTCCCTTCTTACTCAAGGTGGTGTTCCTCCTCGCCGCCGAAAGCCTCCGTCCCAACAAAACCAGCGTTCCCGCTCGAGACTTCGTTTTGTTTTACGTTGGACTAGCGCCCTACTCTCTTCAACATTGGCGCCGATCCCAGCAACAACAGCAGCCCTGCTCGAGACTTCCTCTCTTTCTATTCAGGGCCAGGTCCTTGCCTCACCGCCGACAGCCCCCTTCCCCACCAAGGCAACCTTGTCGTTCGATACTTCCTTGTGCGTTACCCTTCGCTGGGTTTCCACTGGTGGTTTCGCATCGGCGCAGCAAGGTGCGGGCATGCGTTTTCGAGGCGGGATATATTGAAATTCTTCGGACGAGGTGTTCGCAAGACCTCATTGGGCGGGATATCTGGGAATGGGAATAACGGAGCCCGCTATAGAACAAGGGTCCCCCATGATGTGGATGGTTATCATGATGGACACATGCTTCGTGTGGAAACATTGCGCATGAGGGTAAACTGATTGTTGTTGTAATTGTTGTTGTTGTGGAACTCTCACTTCTGATGAATAATTATTGTTTATCTCCCACCACCGGTGCATATTGTTTTTCAATCAAAGTGTGCCCCTCGACGCTCACACCCTCTTTTTTGACAGGGGAACTCTTGATGCTCAAACTGTGCCCCTGGCCCCCGGGTTACAACAACAACGGCTCCCGCTTGAGACTTCCTCACAATTTAGCCAAGACCCCCGCTCCCGCCCGAGACTTCCTCGCATTTTTTTTTGGAATCACGCTCTCGCTTAGGACTTCCTTAGGATTTATTCAGGAAGCGCACTCTGGGCGCTCTGGAGTCGCGCTTTCGCTGGAGACGTGTTTGCAGTCTACTGACAGATAGCGCCATTGCGATGGAATTTCTTACAATTTATTTCAGCGCCGCGCTCCCGACACCAAGGCACCCAGGAGTCGCGCTCACGCCTCGGACTCCCTCACAAATTCTTGGCGCTTCGCGTATCCCCACCAGCTCCTGGCCTCGCTTCCGATTGCGGTTCGGCTGGAGCTTGGCGCCGCAAGGGCGACTTCTCCCCCCCGTTCCGTTGCCGGCCGCGCTTTTGGTTCCCCACCAGCCGAGCTGTCTGGGCCAGTCACCAGCAGACGCTGACATGCGTCTTCAATGAGGGGCATTTTGTCCCTGGCATGTGCATGTGCCGCTGTGCGTGTTGTCCGCTGGAATCCGCGGCATTCTCGCGCCAATTCTGGACGTACCGCGCCCCGGACGTTGTGCTCGCTCCTTGTATTTCGCCATGGAGCTGCGAGCCAAAAAAAGTATCCCCACCAGCCCAACCATAATTGATTGCCAGCTTTCTTGAAGCCTCTTTGGGGGCTATCTTGAGCCATGCTCGGCTAGAGGCTGTCGGAGGCTATCTTGAGCCATGCTCGGCTATCTTGGGCCATCGCGAGGCCGTCTTGAGGCCTCTTGGAGGCCTGTCGGAGGCTATCTTGAGCCATGCTCGGCAATCTTAGGCAATTTTGAAGGCCATCTTGGGCTATCTAGGGCTCTCTTTGAGTCATCTTGATCCAAAAAGGGCGGGGTGGAGGGTCTTTGGGAGACGCTGGGAGGCCTCTTGGGGCCATCTTGGGCCCCATGTCTAAAAAAAAAGAGGTTCCTCAATTAGGATCCCCCCCTTCGGAGGCTCTCAAACGGCGTCTTGGGGCCGTCTTGGAGCGCTCTTGGGCGCCTCTTGGGCGATCTTGGGGCCGTATTCGGCATTCTTGGGCTCCTCTCGGGGCCCTTTTGGGCCATCATGGTGCAATCTTGAGGCTTCCAAAGCCCATCGGATGCGAAACGGCGAGAATGCCAAACACATTGATGGTCTTCGGGCTTTTGAAGGGCTTGGGCATCTTGGAGAGCGCCGTGGAGGGCTCGAAGGGCACTTGGATCCGTCTTGGGGCTGTCTCGGGGCCTCTTGGGGGTATGTCGGAGGCTATCTTGACCCATCTTGAAGTAACATGGGTCATCTTGGAGGCCACCTTGCGACTTTGAACGCCTCTTGGAGCAATCTTGGGCCATCTTGGACGCTCCAACGCCTCGCGGCGCGCCCCGTCCAGGCCCAGGGGAGGGTGTAGGGGGAGGGGTTTCGGTGGAAGAGACAAGAAAAAACGCGCTATACCACCTGAGCCCAGAGGGCTGGTGGGATTACCTAGGAATCGAGATCTCGCTGCCCTTCGTGGCCCCGTTGCAGCCCTTCGTGGCCACCTCGCTTTGTTTCGTGGCCCCGTTGCAGCCCTTCGTGGCCCCCTCGCTTTGTTCCGTTGCCCCGTTGCAGCCCTTCGCGGCCTCCTCGCAGCCCTTCGTGGCCCCCTCGCTGCCCTTCGTGGCCCCCTCGCTTTGCTTCGTGGCCCCGTTGCAGCCCTTCGTGGCCCCCTCGCTGCCCTTCGTGGCCCCCTTCGCTGCCCTCCGTGGCCCCGTTGCAGCCCTTCGTGGCCCCCTCGCTCCCCGTCGCGGCCCCGTTGCAGCACTTCGTGGCCCCCTCGCTGCCTTTCGTGGCCCCATATATGTATGCCCTTCGTGGCCCCCTCTCGTTCGCGCCCGTGGTGGGCCCATCTGCATGCCCTTCGTGGCCCCGTTGTCGCCCTTCGTGGCCCCCTTCGCTGCCCTTCGTGACCCCGTTGCTGCCCACAGTGGCCTCGTCCTTGCCCTCCGCGGCCCAACATACGTGTGCCCGTCGTGGCCCCCGCTCATTCGCGCCCGTTGTGGTCCCATGTGCATGCGGCGGGAGGAGACGGAGCAGGAGGATTCCGATGCCGACAATTGTCCCTTGAAGCGTCGACCCTTCCCCAGGGCCGGCTGTCCATGCCAGTGTTTTTTGACGGTCCCCAGGGTCCGGGCGAGGGCCTTCGGATGACCGAAAACGGCGAACAAATTGCCGTCGTGATTTTCACGACGCGAGCATGTCAGGTCGGGTGGGGCCAGGACCACGATAAATCGTTCCAGTGCGCTCCGTAACGCTCTCAGAGCGCTCTGGAGCGCTCCGAGACAGCCGCGGCGCCCGATCCTTCTTCCAGAGCCGCTGGAGCTCAGCTGTCCCCGAGCTCTCCCCGTCGGGTCTTGTCCCTGCCCTGGCCTGTTGTCAGGGCCGCCGACGGGCCGCCGACGGGCCGCCGAAGGCCGCCGACGGGCCGCCGACGGGCCGCCGACGGCCGCCGACGGGCGGCCCCCGCCAGAGGCGCGCGCCCTGCAGGGCGGCGGTGCCGCTGCGCTGGCCGCCGCGCTGCCGCCGGCCGCGGCGCGCCCTGCGCGGAGCAGCCGCGCCCTCGTCGGGCTGCAAGCGACCCGGGCCGGTGCAAGCGGGGTCCGCCAGAGCGCCGGGTCGGGCAGGATCGGGCAGGGCCAGGGATGCATGGACCCGGGTTTTTCGTTGGCGGAAAAGAGAGGGGTGATGACTAAGGGGGGGTGAACATCATGGCGGGGGCCATGATTTTTCCCCAGATTTCATGGCGCCTCTTCTTATTTCATTACGTCCCTGGCCTCCCCGCTGGGCCGCGCACGTGCCGCCGGTCATGATTTGCACCCCCCCTCTTGGACACCCCCCTCTTGGCCGCTCCCGAGTTTTGCGCGCAGGAGGGTCCGGCAGGAGCTTGCAGGGTCCTGCCGAGCCCGACTGGGCCCAGGCCTCGTGCGTCGGAGGGCCCCGCAGGAGCTTGCAGGATCCGGCCGAGCCCGACTGGCCCGGGTTTGCACGGACCCGGGTCCGTGCGTCCCCGCCTTCGGCCGGCGGTCGGCGGCCCTCGGCGGCCCGGCTCGGCCCCAGGTCTTCTGCAGCGAGCTTGGAGCCTCACCCTCGAGATGCTCGGTCCAACGAGGTTGTTTGTACTTTTCGGCCTCTGGGGGGCGATCCCGGGCCCCGGGGCCGTCAAACACGGATCAGGGGTGGAAGATTGCACCAAGTGGACTCCAAGAGAGTCCAGGGACCAACTTTATCCAGATTTGGCTCCATCCCCCCTTCCCCCATGGGCGGTGCGAAGGTGGGGCTTGTTTGCCAATCGGGGGCGAAATCCAAACCCTACTCTCGCCGATGAACGATTCAGGCAACTCGATGGGCGGCGGGGAGGTAGGTTTCAGAATTCGCCGCACACGTGGCGAAATCCTCACCCTACCCCCGCATCCCATCGATTCTGGAGAATCGATGGTTGCTGGGTAGGGTTCCGATGTCGCCACCTAAGGTCTCCGACGATCGGAGGAGGACCATTTGAGCTTCGAGGCTTTCGGAATGTTCCTTCGGTTCTCGCTGATGCCTTTCAGCAGCTGCGCCTGGCTGAGAGCGTTCCAGGGCTGCCTGGATCGTTCCGAACGGCCGCCGAAGCGCGCAACGATCGGGGGCGAGTTGAGACAGCGGTAGTCGGCATCCGAGGAGGCCCCTGGTCGCCACGGCGAGACGCAGCTCGGAAAACTGGTGCGTCTGGACCTCTGGAGGGGTCCGGGAACCGACTTTGGGCTGCCGTTGTCTCAGTTCGCCCCCCTCCGAGACGGTATAACTTTCGAGGTGCGGGCGTTGTCCCCTGGAGTTGAGAAACAGCGCTTCCTGTGGTCGCTTTGTGTAGGGTCTCCCCCTGGGTTCGGAACCCAGGGATGGGGGGGGGGGTCGACGACGACGACGACGTCTGCGTCTTCGTCGTTTTCGTCTGCGGCGGCGGGGTCGGCGTGCGGGTGCATGTATGTGCGCATGTCTGTCTGTCTGTCTGTCTGTCTGTCTGTCTGTCCGTCCGTCCGTCCGTCTGTCTGTCTGTCTGTCTGTCTGTCTGTCTGTATGTATGTATGTATGTATGTATGTATGTATGTGTGTATGGATGTGTGGATGGATGGATGGATGGATGGATGGATGGATGGATGGATGGATGGATGCGTGTGTACATGTATACGCCTATGCATGTTTGTATGTATGTATGCATTCCCGCCATATATATATATATATATAGTTATATGGTCGGTTTTACACAAGCATGAGTGACGTGCCAAATCCCCGAGGGGCCGCCGAACCGACGTCAACCGTCGGCGTACTTGCTCAAGTCTCTAAGGGCGCAGCCGCCCTGCCCGAGGGTTCGGGCTTAAGCTTCTCTGCCACGGTGTTGCACAGTTGCTGCGCGTTGGTGGTGGCGGGCTGCGCCGCACGCGCCGCCAGCGTCGCAGCAGCTGCCCCTGCCCGCGGAGGAGGCTCCCTCGCCGCTGCTGGTGCCTCTGGCGGACTGCATCGCGGCCGCCGTCGAGGTGCGCGAGGCGCCGATCAGCCCATCGCCGTGTCCCCCTTGCCCGGCCTGCCCGGAGGCAGGCGACGGTGGCACTGCGTGGAGCCTGCAGGTGGGCGTAGGTTTCCTGGGGTTGGCGTTCCTGGAACTCGCGAAGCTGCTGATCGCGATCTCCCGCAGGTGCCTGGTTCAGCTGTGCCGCCTGCTCCGCACAATGGGTCCTGCGGCTCGCGCGTCTGACGAGGGGCCGATCTCGTCGCTGGGGCAGCGGGCGCCAAAGCCATCTGCTCTGCTGGACCAGGAGATCGAGGTCGCGGCCGAGCAGGCTCGCGCCAGTCGCCTCTGGCGGCTGCAGGGCCGCCAGTGGCGTGCTCCATTCTATGCCGTGCGGTACCGCGTGCCTGGCCCGCTTCTGTGGCACGAGCGCTTCACGGCGGCGGAGCGCGGGGCGCTCGGCCACATCTTCACGCCGGATTTCGACGATTACGACGAGCCGAACGCCCCCAGGCCGGAGGTGGCCGAGGTCGCGCGGCCCGCCGGCCAAGGCGCTGCGCCGGCGGCGCTTGGCGGAGCCCACGTGTACCGTTTCAGACGGCTGCCAACGGCAGCCGAGGCCTTCGCCGCCACCGCCCGCGCCGCCGCAGCAGGTTTCCCGGCCCGCCCTCTCGGCGTGCTCGACCTCGAGCTCGCGGGGGGGAACGTGCTGGGCGGCGTGCATGCTGGGATCCACAGGCTGACCGACCCTGCGGGTGCGCTGGCAGATGGGGGCGCGGACGGGGCCGCGGCGGTCGCCGAGGTTGGCGGGCTCGCGGCTGCGCTCGGAGGCCCGCCGGCACCGCCGGCCGCCCCTGGCGCGAATGCGCCTCCAGTGCTGGGCGGCGCGCCCCCCCCCAGGAGCTGTGGCAGTCCCCGTGGCCGCCGCCGCAGCCCCCGCCGCGACAGCTGCAACGCTGGCTTGGCCGTTGGGCCCGGACCCGCCGCTGGCGGGTTCGGAGCGCCGCCGCCCGACCCGAGGGTGCTGTCGGCCAGCTGGGACATGCTCGGGCAGCGGCGCATCGAGCTTCGCCAGGGGGTGCTGCGCCTGGTGGAACCCCCCTGGCCAGACTGGAGGTTGTCGGGTCCCAGGGCTTGCCTCTGGGTCTGCCGCTTCATCCGCGAGAATGGAGCCGCGCCTCTTGGGAGGCGCACGCCGTTCAAGACGCTCTTCCGTGTGGCGGATGCCGACCCTGGCGTCGTGGAGCATGAGGAGTGCTGCCGCATCTTGCAGGAGGGCGTCTGCTATGACCAGCTGAATGCGGCGTCGGTGGCGTCGCATGAGGTCGCGCGCCGCTCCCTGCAGGCTCAGGAGGAGAGGTGCCGCCACCAGCTCCACGACGACGACGAGGACGAGAACTACGACAGTCGACACCGGTTCCTCCGGGGCCAGCTCTCGAGGGGGAACCTGCGCGTCTGCCCGCGGCGAGGCGCCCCTGCGCGTCGGCGAGGCAGCGAGGCAGCTGGTCGACGGGGCGACCAATTGCATCCAGACTTCAGCGCTGGCGGCATAGGTTTGCTCGGCGAGCGCGTTCTGGGAGATCGAGGACGTTGGCTCTGAGCGCCGCTCGGACGTCATGGAGGGTTGTCCCTGAAGATCGACCCGACGTTCCGCGCAGTTTTCGCCGCCATCTTCGGGCGCGTATTTTGGGCTCGGTCGTGCCCGCGGACACGAAGATTCGCGAGGCCCTCAACGTCTTCGATCGGCCGTGCGCGCCGCCGTCGGCGGTCAACGCGTTAAAGACTTCGCCGAACGCGTGGCCCATCGAGACGACGCCGTCATCTTCGTTGTCCTTGGCGAAGTTGGAGGGCCACTGGAACGCGATGTTCGGAGGGCGCGCCAGACTGGCGATGGACGCCATCATCGAGTTCACCAGCTACGTCGAGAAGCACGACGCAGAGCAGTTTGCAAAAAAGAGGGGGGCCAAGTGCAGCATGCCTGACGGCAATGCTCTTCCCGGCAGATGAATAGCTTCGCGAAGGCCGATGGGCTGAAGGGCGCGAAGCCGATTGCCGGGGGCATCGAGACCACTTGCGGACATGGTGGGCAATGTCGGCGCCAAACACGGCTGGTTGTCGGCGGCTATCTCGGAGGAGACTTGGAGCGCCCCCGCCAATTATACCTGTGTCGACGTCGAGGGCGCAGCATTCGAAGCGATTGTCTCGGCAGCGCAGGCCGCCGCTAAGGCCGATGGCGCATCGCGCCCAGAGGGTCAGATGGCGGCGAAGACCAGAAGAGAGGGGGGCGGAGAGCGAGCTGGCAGCCGGGTGGGCGCAGACTGTCGACGCCGAGGGCGGGGTCGATTCGGCGGATTCTTCAGCGCTCGCACGGGGGGTCCAGGCTCGCCTGCAAACTGCCATTTCCAAAGTCCCGCGTCCCTCGGGCCTCGTTCCCCTGGATGCCCCCCCGATGCCCCCCTCGACTCGGAGGAAAGAAGCGTGACACCTCCAGCCAGAAGGTCCACGATGCCTCCCCGAGCTCGGGATAATGTCTCGGGCCGGGAGGGGGGACTACACTCGGAGGTTGATAGACCTCCTACCCTGACACGTCGATTATGGAATTGGCCGTTTTCGGTTCGCGAGAGCGCGTCGCGACCGTAATTTTTGCGGGTCCAGGTCCGTCGGTTTCGGCCCCAGGCCGTTTTCACTAAGGGGAGGTTTATTAAACGGAGGTGTGTCCACCGCCGATACACCACCAGGAGGACCCCCCCTGGCTCACTGCGCTGGTGGTGGTGGAGTCGCCTGTTCCTTGCTCCTACTCGACCACCGGTCCTCCTCCTCTTCATCGGCACTCGATCCTCCTCGCCGATCTATCGGCGATGCATCGCCGATTCCAGGTTGATGTTCCCCCCCCCTGAGCTGGTGCCCGCCTACCGTAGCCCCTTAGGCTTAAGCTTAAGTATTGTATCTATCACGTTGCACTTGCCGCGATGTCTCTTGCGTCTTGGGTTGCTCTAACTCTTGGCTGCTGGCCGCAGCGCCCGACGGAACCAAATCACTATCGGCAGAAAACGCAGATCGGAAGCGGTGGCACGATTAGAGCAGCAGCCCATTCCCACCCTCTGCACTCCATCGTCACCCCTCAGTCGCCGCTGCCGCCGCAACGAGGGCCCACTATCTGGAGCCGATCGTCGTCATCGTCGTCGTCATTATCATCATCGTTATCTTTATCGTTGTGGTCGTCGTCGTCACCGCCGTCAGTCCGCCATCTCTCTTTGGAGGGGGGCGGGGGCCACGCAACTGACCCCGAGGCCGCGCGCGCGCCGCGGCAGGCGTCGCAGCGCCGGCTGCCCCGCCCCCCCTCTCGCTCTCTCTCTCTCTCTCTCTCGGGGGCGGCCAAGAGAGGGGTGAGGACGGGGGGCGTGGGCATCATGGCCAGGGCCAGCATGCCTCCCTGGACGCCATGGCCCCCCTGCTCATCTCGATTGGTCACGTTTCGGGAGCGGCAAGGTGCAATGCTAGCCACAGGGGGTGTTGCTAACATCGCCATGGTGGCTCACCCCTGTTCCGCAGCACCAGCAGCCCACCCCCCTCCCGCGCCCTTTCTGTCTCTTTCTTTTTGGGGGGCGGCCAAGAGGAGGTTGAGGACTAGGCCCAGGCCTCCAAAATATGGTCCGAGCAGATGGGGTATGTGGATCGCGCCGCATCGCCGATGCGTCGCCCTTACGGCTCGATGTGGAGCCCGATGTTCTCCACCCCGACGCTATCGACGCCTCGCCGACTTCGCCGATTCATCACCGATGCATCGCCGATGCATTGGCGATGCGGGACGGTCCTCGGACCCCATCCATTCGGACCCCATTTGGGAGGCGTCTCGTGGTGACTGAGGGGGCGGTATCATGGCCGGGGCCAGGATATCTCCCCGGATGGCATGGTTCCCCTCTTCTTCTCTCGATGCGTCCCCTTCTCCCCCCTGGGCCTCGATCCGACCCTCTAGTCCCTCTCGGGCATCAGCGGTTCACAGGAGCAGGATGGGGGCCTGAGGGACGGGGGCCCCGATGGATGGGAAAGAGATCCCAAGTTTCGGTACGGCCGAGATGGGTACGCCAAGAACTGGGGACGGCGACCCGCAGCAGTTCCTGCCCATCTTGAATCCGGATTCGCCGTCTGTGTCGCCGCGGGCCTGATCAGGGGCAACGTTGAGGGGGGGATAGGCTCAGGAGATGATGCATCGTCCCCCAGTCGCCCACAGATCGCTGGTAGGGGCCCGATAGCCCCACCCGGACCGCGACCGCGTGGTTTCGCCATCGACCAGAGGGGCCCCATCGCCAATCCATCGGCGATGTATCGCCGATTCCAGGCCGAGTCTGGGTCGATGTTCCCCCCCACCGTGTGCTGGTCCCCCGCTAACGCTCCCCCACTCAGGATAGGATAGGGATCCCAAGCTGAACCTTCAATTTCCGAGGCCCCTCGTTCGTAGGGCCCCAGCCCGTAGGGCCCCTCCGTCGAACCGCTGAGGCTCGCCGCCGCCGCCGTGGTTTCTCGTCCTCGTCTTCGTCTTCGCTCGGCATCGCTCGGGCGCGCTGATGTCGAGTGCTCCTTGTGCGGCTCTCCACGGATCCGCTCGCTCCACCGCCTGAACCCGTGGAGGCCACGGGCTGCGGAGCTGCGAGGACTAGGATTGCATTTGGCATCTCCCGCGGAACTGCAACAACTCGTACGTGACCGCCGTCGTCCTGCCCCCCCCACCCCCATTCCTCTCACTGCTCTCGGGGGAGCGTAAGACCCGGGTTTGCCAGGACTCGGGTTCGCCATTTTTTTTTGACGACCGCCACTCGGATTTTGACGAGGAGGAGTTTTGTGGGATGTCTGCAGCGGGAGGCCTCGTCAAAATGCAGGCTCGGCCTCGTCATTTTTTTGACGACCTCGTCGGGGATTTCCGAGTCCCCCGTACCCGGGTCTTACGTCTCCCCGATGCTCCCCTCCCCCTCCCTCCGCCATCTTGGCTCAAGCCGTGGCCGCAGCCGTGTCGCCCCCTTCGGCGCCCGCGCGCTCCTTCTCGCGGCTCGGGCCCGGCGCGTCGCGCTCGCAGGGGCGGAGGACCGCGCGTGCACCTCGGCGTCTGCCGTGCTCCTTGTCCTTTCTCAGGAGGGAGAAAAACACACAGACACAATTAATCGTCGATTCCCCCGAAAATATAGGAAAATATGGGAAGTGGGCGGGAAGACAAAAACCCAGAAAATATGGGAAAATATGGGGGATATTTTTATTTGTGTGTATTTATTTGTGTGTCCCAGGGCCCCTTCATTGCGGCGGCTCTTCCTGCAGCTGTTCATTACCGCCCCCTCTTCTGGGTGGCCTTGCAGTGGCTCTTCCTGCAGCCGTTCATGGAGTTCATCATCGTGACGCGCCGCGCCCAGACAGTCGGATGCTCCCGTCGCTTCCGCTGGCGCCCGTCCAAGCCCACCTTCCCTCCCTGGCTTGGACCAGCAGTGCAGCGGAGGTGCTCCAGTTTGGCACAGCAGTTGCTCCTCCTTCGTCGCTTTCTTTTGTTGCGACCTCCTCGGGTCTTCGGCGGGGAACTCTCAACGCACCAGTGCCACGACATGCAGTCGGCCATATTGTGCATCGCCGTTCGAACCGTTAGGCGCGCCGTCAATTGGATTTTCTTGTGCTCGGAAGCATTTCGAATGCATGGGTTACAGGCGTATCGTTGTGATCGTCTTCGTCGGCTTCGCCAGCTGCAGCCTGGCGTTCTGGCAAAGTCAGTAGTGTCGTCGTTGCTATAGAGTGCGGTTTTAAGGTGCGCTGCTTCATGCGCCGAATCATTGCGCAACAGATTTAGCATTTCAAAATATATCAAAATAGCGTGGTTTCCAACTTCCGATTCGATGCTGACGAATGTTGTCATGGACAGTGAGCCTCCTGTGTCCTCCTCCTCCTCGCTCCTCCTCCTCCTCGTTCCTCCTCGCTTCTCCTCCTCGCTCCTCCTCGCTCCTCCTCGCTCCTCCTCGCTCCCTGCGCGCCCGAGAGGCCTGCTGGCAGCCGCGGCTCTCGCAGGCACCCTCGCCGCCACAGCCAGAAGACCAGCGGAGAGGTCCCCGTCATTGTCGTCGTCGTCGGCGCCCTCGTCCTCTCATTCGTTGTCATCGTCCGCCGAGGGGGCCGTTGTTCGTCCAATCAGGTTTGTCCGAGGCGATGCGGATATGTCAGGTTGGTTCCCGAAGCTGGGCACCGCTGATAAGACGCCTGTTTCATACGACGCGTATACGGCGCCTGCACAAAGCTCGTATTGCGATTATACGATGCTAAGGAAGCGCTCATAAGGCGCCTACAAGGCGCTCATGGGGCGCCTATACCAATGCGCCGCTTGGAAGGCGCCTACAAAGCGATTGTAAGGCTTATACTGTCGCCTACTAGGCGCTTATCTTAGCGCCCATGCAGCGCTTAAAATAATTTTATAAGCGATGGCTGGTATGAGCTAGAATCGCCTCGTTGGGATCTCACACGCACAGGTGTTCGTTCCTGTCGGGACGTCACCAGTCTTGTTGGGATGTTAGTTTTCTCGTTGAGACCTCACTATCTCTCGCCCCAGACCCCCAGCCTTTCACCCCGAGCCGCTCCTACAGGACTCGATGAAACGTAATGGTGGATCAACCGGGCCCCCCCAAACAGCGCGGTGATCACACCGCTTGGTGGGTCAGTAAGGACCCTGGGTGGCTGCAAGGTTTTCGGACGTGGGTCGTTTTCCGAGGACCTCTCAGGCGATTGGGGCCTCCGATGTCACCGCACGGTCTGACACCGCACAGCTTTGGGACGTTCGCACTGAGGCGCGTGGAGCAGCGACGGGCCCACCTTCCATAACAGAAACCGACGCGCACCGCCGCCGGATCGGTCGGCACCAGCCCCATGCAGCGAGGGGAGATTCAGGGCTCAAGAGACGGGTGTCAATGCAAACGGGAGTCAATCAGAGCGCCAGATCTTGCAGGATCTTGCAGAACCAGGGGTGCATTGACCCGAGCTTGCGCGCAGGATCCTGCAGGAGCTTGCAATGCCCAACTGACTCGGGTTAGGATTGATCAAGGCCAGTAGATCCCCGAGATCAGAAATCGGCGGCGAACGCGGGGGTAGAGTGACAAGGGGCAGGCCTCCTCAACAGGCGGCGGGGCTTCTCAGAAGCCCCCGCGCCCTGTGAGACGCTTCCCGTGCCTGTGCCTTCGGGTCAGGCTTGGGAGGCTCTTCAGACGGCCCGAGGCCTCCCGAGCCTGCGGAGAAGGCCCGCCCCTTCTCAGTTCACCCCTTGGGCGCGCCGCCGGGGCAGAGGCACATCCTCGGCCCCGCCGAAGGCGGCAGGAGGACCGGCCCCCGGTGCGGGTGCCCGCGGGCCCGCGGCGCAGAGGTCCAACAGGGCGGCGGCGGCCGCCGTGGCGGCGGCGCCTTTCGGCTGCATCGAGGAGCCGGCGGCGCTCGGGCGGCGGGGCTTTGTCTCTCTCTCTCTCTCTCTCTCTCTGCCTCTAGGACCAGTCGCGGGTATGAGCGAGGGTCTCTCTCTCTCTCTCTCTCTCTGTCTGTAGATATATATGTATATTTCTCTCCCTCTTCGGAGGAAGAGGAGGAGCGACCATGAACGAGGCGGAGCGAGGATCTTTCTCTCTCTCGCTCTTTCGTTTCTTCCCAACCCTCCCGTGGTGATGCGTCCTAGTTTTGAAGAGACGGTGCCCCGCGTCTCCTCCTCTTCCTCCTCCCCCTGCTCCCTCCTCCCGTTACCACCATCACTTTGGCACACACCTCACACGGTTCGTGGCTCCATAGGGAGCTCTACCGAAGGCCCCAGAGGCATGGTTCGCATGCCGCCTCCCCTCCATTTTAGCACACCCCTCACGCGGTTCGTGGCTCCATAAGGGTTTCCACCGAGGGCCCCATTGGCATGGTTTGTCCGCATGCCGCCCCCCTCCACTTTGGCACGCCCCTCACACGGTTGGTGGCCCCGTAGGGAGCTCCACCGAAGGACCCAGAGGCGGTGTTCGCATGCGTTTCCCCCACTCAGTACAGCGCTTCGTGGCCCCATGGGAAGCTCCACCGCAGGCACCAGTGGCGGTGTTCGCATGCGTCTCCCCCACCCAGTGCAGCGCTTCGTGGCCCCAGAGGGAACTCCGCCGAGTGCCCCCGTGGCGGTGTTCGCATGCGTCTCCCTCACCCAGTGCAGCGCTTCGTGGTCCCACATGGGCCCACGGACGGCCCCAGTGGCGGTGTCCGCATGCGTCTCCCCCACCCAGTGCAGCGCTTCTTCTCCCCATAGGAGGCTCCACCGAAGGCCCCAGTGGCGACGTTTGCATGGCGTCCCCCCGCCCAGTACAACGCTTCGTGGCCCCTCCCCATAGGAGCTCCACCGAAGGCCCCAGTGGCGGTTCTCGCATGCGTCTCCCCCACCCAGTAAACCGATCGTGGCCCAGAGAAAAACTCCATCGAAGGTCCCAGTGACGGTGTCCGCATGCGTCCCCCTCACCCAGTGCAACGTTTCGTAGTCCCACAAAGGGCCCCACCGAAGGCCACAGTGGCGGTGTCCGCATGTATCTCCCCCACACATTGCGGCGCTTCGTGGCCTCACAGGAAGCTCCACCGAAGGCCCCAGTTGCGACGTACCCCGTACAACGCTTCGTGGCCCCATAGGAGCTCCACCGAAGGCCCCAGTGACGGCGTTCGCATGCGTCTCCCCCTCCCGGTACAGCGTGTCGCGGCCCCATAGTGGGTTCCACCTAAAGCCCCAGCGGCAGCGATCACATGTCGGCCCCGGCCCATGTCGGCATATCCTTCGCATGTTTCATGGCCCCATGAGGCGATCCCCCGAAGGCGATAACCGCAACGACGGTACTCACAACTGCACATGGATAGGTTGTTCGCCAAGATGGTTTTCTCTCTCTCTCTCTCTTTTTCTCTCTTTCTCTCTATTTCTCTCTCTTTCTCTCTTCCTCGCTCTCTCTCTCTCTCTCTCTCTTTCGCACTATCTTTTTTTAGTTTCTCTCTCTCTCTCTCTTTCTCTCTTTCTCTCTCGCTCTCTCAGGAAGCAAAGGAGGAGGTGTCTCTTTCTCTATCGCTCTCTCTGTGTCTCTGTCTCTGTTTTTCTGAGGAGGAGGAGGAGGTGGATGGGCAGCAGAAGGAGAGCGTCGTTGATCGAAGGAGATGGCAAAGGAGGGGCAGCGAGTGTCGGAGGAGGAGGATGAGAGGAGAGGATCGAGGGTCGGTACTGGGATCAATATTTTTTATAGCTCTGCTGTTGTCTCACAAGATCTTTCTCTCTGTCTCTCCCTCCCTGTCTCCCTTTGTCTCTCTGTCTCTCTGTCTCTTTTTTTCCTCAATCAGTGCTTGCACTGACGGGGTCCTCGCGGATGTTGCTAGAATTGGCGAAAGTGCCTCGCCGATTTGTTGGCACGCTGGGTTCCCGGGTTCCCGGTTTCGGGTTCCGGGGTTCCCGGGTTCCTGGTCATTGGTTCCAGGCCGATGGTTCATTACCGATCTCATTGTCGAGTTCATTACAGACTTCATTGGTTCCCGGGTTCCCGGTTCCGGGTTCCCGGGTTCCTGATCATTGGTTCCGGCCCGATGGTTAACTATCGATCTCATTACCGATCTCACTGTCGAGTTCATTACGGATCTCATTCAATGTTGAGAGATTTGGCGCAATTGCCCCGCCGATTTTGATAGCAGGTTGGGTTCCTGGTTCCAGGTTCCCGGATTTTTGGTCATTGGTTCCGGGCCGATGATTAACTATCGTTTTCATTACCGATCTCATTGTCGTGTTCATTACGGATCTCATTCAGCCGACCTAAAGGTTTGGTCCCACTACCGATCTCAATATCGACAGATCGTCCCCTTTACCGATCTCACAACCGATCCTACGACCTAAGTATCGGTCTCACCATCGACCTCAATATCAACATATCGTCCCCACTATCGATCTCACAATCGATCCCACGATCGATCTCGCGATCGAATTTACTATCGATCTCACTACCGATCTCACGGTCGATGTCATTACGGATTTCACTTAATCGATTTGCGTATCGGTCTCACTATCAATCTCAATATCGACAGATCGTCCCTATTATCGATCTCACAATCGATCCCACGATCGATCTCGTGATCGAACTGTCTATCGATCTCACTACCGATCTCAGTGTCGATCCCACGATTCCTGTTACTATTCAGTTTTTTGTTCACCTCAATCCCACGATTCACTATCGATCTCATGATCGATCTCTCTATGCATCTCGCTCAACCGATCTCAATCGGTCCACTCTCGACTGACGGGCCCTCCTCTTGAACCGTTTCGAACCGACGAATGCCCGAAAAGGCGAGAATGCCTCAACACTCTTCGAGACTGGAACGCCTGCCCAATTTCCAGTCCACCCACTGATTGGCGCTTTTCTCTGGTATAATGTTTCCCATTTCTCTTTCTCGCTCTCTCTCTCTCACTCTTAGTGTATATACACGTAGACTTTCGACATTCATATCCAGGGCGCACGTAACGGGGGTCAACGCGAACGGGGGTCAGCCAGTTCCCTCATATCCCCCCTGGCTGCCCCGGTCTGGGGTGAGTCGTGTTGGGCTTCTCGCGTAGAATCGCAATTTGGGGAGACAAACGAATCTCGTGTCCAAGTTCCATGGCCATTGCGATGTGACAGGGTATGGCACTTGAGCCCCCCCAAGGGGAGCCGCCAGGGGCTACATCATGGGTTCGTTCGGCCCACCAAGTCAGAAAGGGAAACGGAGGAATAGAGAGAGAGAGAGGAGAGGGAGAGGGAGGGAGAGACAGAGAGAGAGAGAGAACGTGAGAGAGAGAGAGAGACACTAACAGTTACACATAGATACATATATCGAGAGAGAGAGAGAAAAAACACAACAATGAGGGAGAAAGAAAGAGAAAGAGAGAAGGAGAGAGGGAGAGAGAGAGAGAGAGAAAGAGAGAGAGAGAGAGGGAGAGGGATAAAGAGGGATACGGATATATATATATATATATATATATATATATTCAGAAAGTGAGAGAGATACCATATGTATTCATCAAGAGAAAGAGAGAGCGAGAGAGAGACTGAGTATAGAGAGTACTTGCGACGACGGTCAGGATAAGACATACTAGAGAGTAGAGAGTACTGTCAGACATCGTTGAGTGTAACTATCTATCTTTACAGAGACAGAGTGCGCGAGAGAGAGATATGATACTAAAAAGCTCATATTCGAGAACACATCGTAAAGCAAGTTGGGTGGGTCAACAATACAAGCAGAGTAGATGGATCAACATATCTAGAGATAGCTCTTGGTCCGCCTGGCGCAAAGTTCAGAAATTCTGCTTGAGGCTACCACTGGAGAGTAATTTCAATCCTCTGGTGGTAACGGGCATTGCCGGGGGAGGGGGTCAGTAACCTGCCACGGTTTGCGCCAGTGCCGTCTGGGAGTTAGATCCTGCAGCAATTCCCGGAAGGCGCCGGCGCGCAGCATGACGTTGCACAGGGCGGGGTGGGGCTGGGGGCCTGGGGGGCGGCGGTTCAAGCAGCGGGCGTTCTGGCGGATGGTTTCTGGCCCCGCACTCTTGCCAAATCCTTACGCTTTTTACGATGACCCTTTCAAGGTGATAGTGCATCGAAGGGGCCCTCGCCGCCGCGGCCAGAAGCAGCTCGGACACATTGTGCATTTGGCCCTGGTAGGGGCCCAGGCACAGATTTTTTTGAGCTGCCGTTGTCCCAAGCGGCCCTTCTCCGATGTCGCTAACAGGTAGTCATCTTCCATCACCGCCGCCCCATCCCCCCCTCCCTGCCTCCCTCCTCGTCTCCCTCCTCCACCATCCAGCTCAGCCCCCCCTGCCTCGCCGCCCTCGTCCTCTTCTCGCCTCGCTGTGTTTTGTGCCCTCGCCAGCATCGGCCCGGCCAGCGTCGGAGCATGTGCGTAAGTGTGTAGTTCTCTGTCCTCGATCCGCGCGGGCACCGGCGCTCGAGGGGAAGAGGCACCGTCGGGCCAAGCGTCGTCAGGGGCCCCCCCCTCGGCAGGACGGCGCCACAGACCCGTCCCTGTTCGTGACCACGAACGTGCAGCTGGGCGAGAGGAGTCGGCCACGCGCAAGAGTGACCTTTCGCCGGGGTGACCTTTGGTGCGGGCACGCAGGGGTCCCATCAGCGCCCCTTTGTTGCGGGCACGCAGATCCCACGCAGGGGTGCGCCTGGACTGCTTGGCTTAGGCCTCCCCCGCGCCCCCCCCCCCACAGCCGTGCACCGAAGGTCGCTCTTGCCCAGGGTCACTCGTTGAGCGCGGCCGAGAGGAAGCAGGAGTTCATGCAGGCCTGCTCGAAGGCCAGGCGGGGGAGGACTCCGGTCGGAGAGCAAGACACGCCAGGAGCAGCATTTCTCCGAGGTCCGCGCGGTTTCCTCGGATCGGCGAGGGGGTCCCCGTGGCAGCGCCTCCTGCGCCGCCTTTCGGCGCGCTCCTCGCGCCGGGGGTCGGGTGGCCCAGTGCGGATCCAAGAAATCCGCGCGGGGATCCGAGGAAGTAATGGTTATGCTGTTGTTCGTTTCCCCCGTACAGGAGGAGGAGGAGTGGTGAGGATGCGAAGAGGTAGGCGCAGGGTAATCAGGTTCTCCTCCTCTTCCCCCTCCTCCTCCTCGTTGTCCTTTATTACTCATTCTATGGGGTTTCTCAGTCTTGCCTGTTTCCTTCCACCGACGTCGACGATGTCGATCGAACGCTGCGCCGTCCCCTTCCCATCAGTTTGGAAGTTGACAGTTTTCATCGTCCATCATGTTCAAATTTGGAGTAGAGCTTGTGGGAGGGGGGAAGGAGGAGGAATGCGGAGGTAGTCCAGATGAGGACGAAATGGGGGAGGAGGGAGGCGGAGCAGTCCAGGAGCGAGGAGGCAACTATGGGAGTAGGACGGGGGATGGGAGAAGCAGCAGGCGGAAGGGGGCCGAAGAGTAGCTGGGAAGCGAAGCGAGGACGAGCGAGAGAGGTGGGAGTAAGAGGAGGCAGGAGGAGGAGCAGGAGGAGGAGGAGGAGTAGGAGGAGGAGGAGGAGGAGGAGGAGGATGTGGGAGGTGGGAGGAGGGCGCAGCAGGGAGGAGGGATGGTGGAGGCAGGAGGGCTGAGGAGGAGGAGGCGCAGGAGCAGGGAGGAGGGGGCGGGCGAGGAAAGCACTGGTGGCCGTGGTAGTGGCCTCCTGCGGGGGCAGCTCGCCACCAGCCCCTCCCGCCAGGCGGTGGCGGCATGCCTCAAGAAGCCCGAGAGCTATGTCGCGGTCCTCGTCCAGGACTGCCGCCCGTGGCCCTGGGGGGACACGGATCGGGGTTCGAAGCCAATGGGCGCCTTGTTTTTTCCACAGGCCGTGCTTGCATTGAATGGTCCTTGCTTGTGTGTACAGGTGCCTGGCAGGGCTTTCCGGATGGTCGCCTGGTGCCCGCCCGTGGGCGCCTCGTGGGCGCCCCATGCGCTGGCTGGGTTTCCCTGGCTTTCGCCGAGTGCCCACCAGAGGGCGGGCGCTTCGGCGGCGCCGTGTGCGCTAGCCAGTGTGTTTGGATGTGCACGTCACGTAGACTGTTCCGCATAGTTCGAACCACATAGGTTGAATCACATAGTCTGCAACCCATATATTGCAGAACACATACATACAAACATACATACACACATACATGCATACATGTACATACATACATACAAGCATACATATATACATGCATACATACATACATACATTTACACATACACACATACGAAAGAGCGCGTTCTGTGGTCGCTTGGTGGGGGGGGGGGGGAACTGGACCCCCCCCCTGGATGGTGCGGGGGGGGTTCGACCCCCCCCCCCCGCCCCCCCCCCCTCCCCCTCCCATAACGGAGGGGTGGGGGGTTCGACCCCACCACCCTTCTACTTCTCCTCTCTCCGTCTCCTCGTCTGGCGGCGGCGGCGGCAAGAACGACGATCTCCTTTTCTGGGCCGGCGCCGGCGCCTGCGGCGGCGGGCGGCGGCGGCGGGGAGTGTAGACGAGGACGACGGTTGTGGTGGTGGTGGTGGGTTGTGGTGGTGGTGGCGGTGGTGGCGCTGGCGGTGGTGGTGGTTGTGGTGGTGGTGGTGGTGTGATGGTTTGTGATGGTGGTGGTGGTGTTGTGGTGGTGGGTGGTGGTGGTGGTGGTTTGTGGTGCTGGTGTGGTGGTGGTTTGTGGTGGTGGTGGTGGTGGTGGGTTGTGGTGGTGGTGGTTTGGTGGTGGTTGGTGGTGTGGTGGTGGTGGTGATGGTTGTGGTGGTGGCGGTGGTTTGTGGAGGTGGTGGTGGTGGTGGTGGTGTGGTAGCGATGGTGGTGGTGGTGGGTTGTGCTGCTGGTAGTGGTGTTGGTTGTGGCGGTGGTGGTTTTGGCGTGGTAGATTTGTGGTGGTGGTGGTGGTAGTGGTGGTGTTTTTTTGTGGTGGTGGTGATGGTGAGTTGTGGTGTTGGTGGTTGTGGTGGTGGTGGTGTCTGTGGTGGTGGTGGTGGTTGTGTCGTGGGTTGTTGGTGGTGGTGGTGGTGGGTTGAGGCGGTGGTGGTGGTGGTGGTACTGGTGGTGGTGGTAGTGGTGGTTATCGTCGCTGCGTCCCCGCCGTCGCCGGCGCCAGCCCCGGCGCTGCTGGCCGCCGCCAGCGCTGGCGCCGGCGCCAAGGGGGAGGGGGGGGAGGGGTTGAACCCCCCCCCGTCCGGCGCCAGTGAAGCCCCTCCCTTGGGCTGCCTCCGGTCATCGTCGCTGCGTCCCCGCCGTCGGCGCTGCTGAGGGCCGCTGGCGCCGGCGCCGGGGGGAGGGTTCACATGCACATATACATATTAACATGCGTACAAACAAACGTACGTACATGTGCATGTAAACAGACATGGGTACATATATGCATGCATACGCCCGTATACATATACGTGCATGCATACATACATATATACATGCATTTTCACACGCATTCGTGCATGCAAACATACATACCATATGCATACGCACATGCATACATGCACCCACACACTCATACATCCACACCGTACATACACACATGCCAACACATCCATTGTTTCTCTACGTCCATCCATACATACATACAGGCAGGCACACAAACATACATGCATACATCCATATATACCTGCGTGCACACCGGTGTACCGTTATGCATGCATAAATACATACATACACACATACATACACGCACACGTGCGCACACACGTACACACATACATACATGCATCCATACATGTGTACATGTGTACGTATGCACGTACGTGCATCCATACGTACATACCTTCTTACATACATACATATACAGCATCATGCTGAATCGGTGGCTGGTCTGTGCTTGAAGACCGCCAACTGCTAGCTCACCCCGCTCTGCGTCTCTTGCACCCTGGAGGTGGCCACGGATACTTTCAACTGGTTGGCCACCCATTGTCTTGGATGGGCTCAGATGGCGGTCGCTCCGTACTCGGAGTACCTCGGCGTCTATCTTGGTCCCGCTGTTGATCCGGTGGCTATGTGGCATGGCAGAAGCTGCGCACCCTGAGGTCCTTCAGTTCAGCGATCTGGCCCCTGAGCGTCTCCATGGCGACTGGGGAGGCGAGGATTACTGAACTCGCCCACCCAGTCGCCCTGAAGGATTTCAGGGGGCGTAGCAGCCTGGGGCCAATTGGATTCATCGTGGCTCGGTTCGGGGCGCCTACCCACAACTCGAGGGTGCTGACGGTGCTGAGCTACGTCATGAGCTTGACGCCCGTGCCTGCCTTCTTCCACAAGCGCGAGACCCGGGCGTGGCAACAGACCTAGCATATTCCAATGTTTCCGGACATTGGACTACTTTGCCTCGGAGAATTGTCGTTCTTTCGCCCTGGCAGCATGATGGTTCTCAGTCTGTCGACCAGGATGCCGGCTTGCATCGCCACTTGACATGGCCTTCTGGACCAGTTGCGCGAGACCACCATCGACAATGGCATGCTGGCCGAGCTTGGCGACGGCTGGATGCTGGCCATGCACATCGTTGAGGCTGCAGAAGGCCGCTTCCCTGAAAGGCGCAGGCTGCCGCCGCGTCCGGCGCGCTCGCCGCCCTTGCTGAAAACTCTGGGCTTTGGCGGGCGCGCATGCACAGAATCCTCTCCTCTTCCTTCCGGGCGTCGCACCGCCCCCGCCGCCCCGCCCCCCCCCCCCCCGCCCCTCCACCCGCCCGCCCGCGCCAACCGCCGCCGCCGCCAGCGCGACATCGCCCCCCGCCCAGTGCTCTCCCCGCCCAGCCCCCTTCCGCCCCGACCACTTTATGCGCCGTCTACCGCCGCCGCCAGCGCGACGCCGCCCCCCGCCCAGCGCCCTGCCCACTCCGCCCCCCTTCCGCCCCTATTATTTCATGCACCAATCACCACCGCGGCCACCGCCAGCGCGACTCGGCCCCCCGCCCAGCGCCCTCCCCACCCTGCCCCCCTCCGCCCCGACCGCTTCACGTCGGCTTCGCACCGCCCCCAACGCCCGGCCCTTCCCCCCCCAGCCGCCAAGTGCCCTCTGGATTGAGCCCAGGCATGCTCAGGCTCACACGCGCGCAAAGCGTTCGCGCACTGTTCATTCAGATTCAGACTTATTCATGTAGGTGCTACTTGTATTCATATCACGCCCACACAGCCCCATTGGTACCCGGACTCGCACATATTCCGACCGACTACCCATGCTCGGACACAAGCGCGCTGAGATTCACGCGCATTCAGAGCCACCCACACTAAGACTCATTGGTGCCGAGGCTGACCAGGCCCCTTCCACGCGCGCGTACATCTATTCAATGCGCAGCAGGGGGGCGCGAAAAAGGGAGGGCGCCATGGGGCGTCACGCGCGCCTGTTCCCATCTTGATTGTGGGGCCCCCTCAAGAGACACGGTATCTGGCACGCATGGAACCTTCTTTTTCTGTTGAGAGTAAATGATCTTCGCAGCGCCGGCGCCCCAAGTCGGAGCCGCTAGGCAACGCGCAGCCGCCGCAGGCTAGAAAGCTCCCGCTCAGACACAGCGGGACGTGCCCAGAGCAAAGTCTGCGCACATGGCGATCCGTCTGGTTGGTTGGTTGGTTGGATGGTTGGTTCGTTGGTTGATCTCGTCGGTCCTGCATTCCCAGGGTTGCTCGGCCGGTCGGCGCTGGGCCGAGTTGCGCGGGGCGTCGGTTTCCAGCGGGGCCTTTGGCATCCCGCGTCCCGGCCCATTCTGGTGAGATGGGCCATTTGGATCATGCGGCCCTTGCGGCTTGCGCGCTCATCGGGCCAATGTGGAACGCGCTGTTTCCGCGCGTCGAACGACTCGCCGCCCGCGCGCTGGCGTCGCCCGCGTCGCTGCGCCCCCCCGCGCTCTGCAGTACCAAGGCGACAATTGGGCGTCGCCAGCGCGTGAGCGGCGACATTAATTTCTAGCATGGGGATTTGTTCGGTTTCCGGCGAAGCGGCGCCATGCAGTGCACTTGCACAATGCGATGATTTTTGATCGGGCTTCGGGCAATGGCGCGGAGGTCCGGCCAGAAAATGCAGTCTGACCCTACCAGCGCCAGGCGCATCCTGACCCAAGTCGCCCACGTCGCCCCGTTCGGAAGAGAGAGCTGGGGCGGTTAAAGCGGCGCAGTCTTGCGTCCGAACTGAGACCATATACCAGCAGTCCAAGAGAGATCACAACCTCGCACTTCACCACGCAAACTGCCATGACGGACGCCCATGCAACGAGCTAGCCGCCACGTTAGCAACGAAGCGCGCAGCGGTATTTTCTGATTCAGACCCAGTACCAACGACGGACAGCAGGTTCTGACAACCCGATCGACATCTGGCAACGCAACTAGCATACCATCCATTACAACGCTGGACCATCCACCAAAGCAGCCCACAACAGACTACTGCGTCTGCCTCATGAGACTAACGGACAGGAGTATACGTTGAAACACTTCTCACAACCACCACGGGAACACAGTGACTCGGCAGGGCCAGATCGATCCGAGCAGCCCACCGGCGAAATTTCTACCTCTACAGCTCATCCACCGATCGCGACACAGAACGCACACAGAGCAAACTTAGAAGCCCACGACTAGGCTGCGCTTTTTCACTCGGCGGGAGGACAGCGCGCGCGAGCACGAGGCGTGCTTCAGAAGGTCCACTGCATGGGGGTTCAAAAAACACCAGCAAGGAACGACTACAGCACTGCTGACACACCCACGCAGTTCACTACACCGCAACGCTGGTCCAGTTTTGAGGCGCAGCCCTGTTCAAGCGCAGCGCTGCCCTTCGCAGCCATTCCCGGACGGACGCCT